TTTCTTGTGGAGAACTAAGGGAAGGTGGCAGTGGGCAGCCAGATGAGGTGGATTTGTTTTCTTGTCCTAATTTACGTCTCTGTTTGCATGTTTGGAGTGTGATGGCTTTTTGCCATTTCATATTTATTCAAGTATTTTTCTACTCTGACAGAACTAATTTAGATAAAGCTTTCAAATAAAAAAATCGGATGTAAAAAAGGGCATAATTTCTGTTAGAGCATATGCTTCATTTTAGTTCTAGATTTAGAATATTTGGTAGTGTTAAAGCCTGAATTTAGTCCCTCAACAGCAGCTTGTGCTTGTGAGAGCTAAGAGATGGAAATATTTTTTTTTCTGCACTTACTGTTTCCAGGCTGCATGATCTTGAGGACAGCCCTGGATGGACTTTTTAAAGCTACAAATGGGTTATTTTGACAGTATTAAGTCAAATCTGTAGAGACACAAGTATTGTGGTGCCTAGCTGTATGTGCTGTCTTTCCTTCCTGGTCCAAACAGGCAACAGAGCGGTGGGTTGTAATGCCGGCAGGTATCGTTGGGAGTGCTGTTGGGTTAAAAATACGAGATTTAAGTTAATACTGAGACTTCAGAATTCACAGAAGCAAATACACCTCTATCGTACAGAACACAGTCTGGCAGCGCTTCAGTTGATGCCTCCTGGCCTTACTGCTTGTAGGGAGGTCATGTGAGCTGGACAAGAGCTCTGGCAGCGGTGGGGTGGGTTGTGATGAACTGCCCTCTTCAGGGGGAGGAGAGGGAGGGACATTTGCCGCAGGCCTCTAGGGCCATCCCTGTTAAACCTGCATTGAACATGCTCTTTCCTAAGCTTAGGAAATATCTGGGACGCAGGCTGTGCGAGCTCAGACTGCCTCACACCAGTGGGATGCTACATCAGAGGAGGGAGAAGACGACGGAATCTCTGGCAGAGTAGAAAGAACAGGATTCTGGTTTCAAGCGTCTCAGTCCAGATGCTGTCAAGATACTGAAGTGTGTACGTGCCCTTGATATTTCCTGAGTCTTGTGCGTTTAATCACCTCAGAGATAGGCTAAATTGATGCAGTTTTTAGGAAGCATGCTGTTGAACTTCACTTTTAAGAATGCAATCAGTCTTTTTATTAACTGCTCGAACAAAGAAGGTGTGTTTTCAGTTTGGCGTAATTGGCCTATAATGACTCCATAACAACCAGTGAAATTAAAAGGGAGGCGTTGATTGTGTGTGCACCCAAACCTGCCCTAGCTTCCTCGTAGAAGCGTTGCACTTTGCTCGTGTCGGCTCTGTTCCATTCAGTCTCAGCATACTTTAAAGCTTTGTTTGTAAGTTACAGCTACGGTGCTGCAAGCTGGGACTCCATCACGTTTCGATTCGGAAGCAAATCCCCTGACTGCATTGCAACAAAACCCACCCTGCAAACCAAACTGGGTGCCTCATGGAGGTGTGAAGGTGGAAGCTTCTCCGAAGACACTCTCACTCTGACGCTGGAGAGAGACCTTGCTGTGAAGCAGGCGGTGGGCTCTAGCACCATGGGCTCCTCCAACGCGGACCCAACATGTGTGCCTGAGTAAGGGAGTTCCCCGTGGCTCCCCAAACCCTGGGGTACCCTGATGTGGTTGTGGTGATGTATAGGTGAACCTGGGCCTGTGCGGCACCATGATTCCCTTCCGGCCAGCTGGAAGCATCTCCTGACTCTGCCTCTCCTTTGGTTTCTGCGGAGACTCTTCTTGGCCTTCCCCTTTACCTCATTCAAAACTGATTCCTTTTCTGGCTTTCTGTTTTATCCTTTTTTCCATGTTGTCTGCTTGTCCTTCCACCTCTCAGAATCCCTTAACAGGACATTGCTGCTTGGGCGTTGGCTCCGTCGGAACCCAGAAGGCTTGCCCAGTGGTATGGTACTCCATGGGTGTGTTGGGAGGCTGCTTTATCCCGTGGCTCTGGTGGTTGGCACTGTGCAGAATACCTGTCCAGGAAGGTGGTGGCCTGGCTTTGTCTGCCCCAAAGAGATTACCTGCCCTCTGGTAGCAGGGGGGAGGTCGTGATGCTCTGCGGAGCGGGGGCTGCGCTCCAACATGGGCCCACAGCTCCAGGTGAGGGTGATGGTGCTGCAGTGCCAGTGTGGCAGGAGGGCTCCTCTGTGTCCGACGGCTCTGCTCCCCCATCAGTTGTCCTGCGGATCACAGGGTTCCACTCCTCAGAGGTGCTTTCCTGGACCTGCAGTCACCAGTCAGCCACAAGCAAGGAGCTGCTGCATCAAGGGCTCCTGCCAAGTCTTTCTGCTGATCTTGCCCCTTGGAGAAAGAGGATCGAGGGACCTGGCGCTCAGTTTGTGCAAGCTGCCTCTCCCAAGTTATCTGGTGCAGCTCCAGGATCCCCGTTTGCCCTGTCAGCACCTCGTGTTGGGTGCTCTCTATGCTCAGCTCCTTGCTGCTGCTGGGAAATAGCGCATGTTGGAACAGAAACGGTGCATCAGTGTTTGACGTCGTCAGGTGACGGTGGCTGTTGTGCAGGTGTGCGCTGGCACACTGCTGTCCTGGCTGGACAGGCAAGAGGACAGTGTGGCACTTGCAGAGGGGGAAAGCTTTCCTTGGGGCAACTTTAAACCATGCACATGGAGGGGATTTGCAGATCAGGAGGCCAAACTCAGGCCAGCCAGAAGTTACCACTGGCTGGATGCTCTGTGAAGTGAAGGGCGGGCTGTTTCACCTGCTGACATGCTCCTGTTGTGCCACACGGCTTGCTCGTGAGGACAGCTGCCGAGGGATGGGGTGGCAGTGGAGAATGGAGTAGGAAACTGGCCTGGCTGACTTGTCAGAGTCATTCTGCAGTGAAAGGTTAAAACAAATGCTTTTTGCTGCTCACTGGAAAATAATGGGAAAAAATCCTGACATTCCGTTAAAATGACCCTGTTTTGGAGGCTCTGGTAAGACTGAAGCAGCTGATGTTGTGTCAGCCACTGGCAATTCACACTGCATGGTTCCTGAAAGCTGTGCTCCCAATTTCCCTTTGAACGGCTCTAGAGAAATCATGGGGTAGGTAGGATGTGACCATCCACATGGAAAAAGGTTTTTTTTCCTTCCTCAATGACCAGGTGTAGGAACAGCCACTCGAAAATCAAAGCTCACATGCCCCTGCACTGCCCAGTTACTGCTTTGCTGATCCTTAAGGACGGAAACCTCTTTCGCCTTCCTCCAAGGGGAGAGCTGAGCGAGGTGGAGAATTGACCCTCTATCCTCCTAAAGACCCTTTGCTTGGTGGGGTTTGGCCCTGAATTCCCATGTCCCCTGGTTTCCTTGGGGGTGGAGAGCTGTACAGCACACCTCCACGTGGCTGCCTGCTGCCACCACTGGGCAGGCATGAGGGCTGTCTGCCAGTGTGGGGTCTGAAACAAAAACGCTCCCGGGGTTTTCAGGGGAAATCATGGGAAATATCAGAGGGATTTTCTTCTTAGAGAGAGCCACAAGATGGAGCAAAATGATTCCCGGAGCTCCTGGGTTTGACATCTCCCTCCTTCTGTCTAAAAACACCACAAAGAAAAGCTGTTAGAGACCCGCTATCAGGCTGGAAAAGCTGCTCCTTAATGTCAGGACGTCGTGGGAAACCATAACTGAGCCTCAGTCTGCTGCTGCTGTGCTTTTGGAGAGGTCTGTGCCAATGTTAATGGCAATCCAAGTGAACAGAAGAGTTTTGCTGTCTTCCCTGTTGGCATATGTCCACGCGGTTTTTAATCCAGCAGTAACTTAGCTGTTCTAAGACAAAAATCTGTGTGCTGTTTTGCGCAGTGCTACCCACAATTTTTACGTGTAACTTAACAGATTAGGGTCAAGCGTCTTGTTTATTGGTTTGTGACTTCCCATCTTCCCTGGGTCCACGTTCATGCTTGTTTTCATGCATGGGAATGTGCATGGCATTGCCTGTGGCTGCGTCTTATGTGTTACGGGCCGCTGGTAGCTACAAGGCTACCAGTTAGGAAACTGTTCTAGATACGCAGCTCACAGCCCTTACTTAAGGTGGCCTAATTACTGTCACCTCCTCTGGTCCGACACCCTTGGAGCATCGCCTCCTGCCACCAGTCCTGCCGGCTGCCCCACGTCTTGCTCGGGGCTGTGGGGCTGCTGTTTGGCCCCCCAGGGACTGCGGGTCTGCTGGTCGCCTGCGCATGGCTGAACTTTGTCTTGCCGGCTGCTACCACCCTGCAGGGCTTTGGAAACTGGAGCTCGATGGTCATTGCACTCAATAGTAGAAAAAACTGGTTATTATTTTATCAGTGCGGAGAGTGCTGGGCTTCAGCAGGCTGGAAATGCGGTACTGATGCCGAAGGTTATTGTATGAATTGGGAATTGTACCAGGTTCCTACAGAAAGTGAGGGTTAATGGATCGCAACTTACTGTGTGCAGCCATGGCTGTTTTATTGCTGATGCTTTTTTTTATTCGCGTTTTCCAGGCCACGCAGGGGGAGTCAGATTGAATTCAAAGAACAGAGCCGCTCGTCAAATCTCTCTTACTTCTGCTTCTCCCACATTTTGCCTCGCCTGGGGTTTTGTATCGAGATGCTGTCAGGTCTGAATTGGTGCAGAGAGGTTACAGGGATACAGTCTGTTTTCTCCTCAGGCTGTTGAGTTTGTACCTGCAGATATCGCAGCGCTCCAAGTGTTTCCCGTGCGTTGTGGAAACAGGTGTTTTTTTTTTCTTCCTTCTCAGTTTTAAATCATTGCTCTGGGAAGGCTATTCCGGGGAGCCTGAAAAAACACAAAATGCCAAATAAATTTGCCTAGAAAACTGCCTCGTGTGAAGACGTTAAATTGTCAGCAGTAAGATACTGGGCTCTCTGGATGTGGGGTTTTGCCCGGTAAAGCATGGCTGGAAGATTCCTCCCATACCGTCCCCAAGCTTTGCTCCGGGGCTGTTTGCTGGGGGGGCCTCTGTGCTAAGCCGTCGCCACCCAACCACTAGCCAGAATGCTGAGGCTTGCAGGTTGTGATAACCTTCCTTGTGTTTTTGTTTTTGCAGAGCTGACTCTGAACCCACCAGAAGGGATAGTAGCAGGTGAGGAACTGAGCAGGGTTTGTGCACTGCGAAGCTGTAGCCTTGCGTTCAGGTAGCACTAAGTATTGTTTTGTTTTTTCTTAATAGGTCCCATGAATGAAGAGAACTTCTTCGAATGGGAAGCTCTGATTATGTGAGTTCATACTGGTTTGTATCTGAAATCAGCACTTGCACGCTGTGATTAGCTTCTAGGAGAATGAGAATGTAAAAATATAATATCCGTTCTGCATAATGCCAACCTTTGGCTGGGAACTTCTTTCCTGACCCAAACGGGGAATTATATTGGGAGTTTGAAGAGTGTGGCAGAGGCAGCATTGGGACTCAAGTGATCATTTGTTGTACAGGTGTCACTATAAGCAGGAACATTCTGCGTAAGTAACTTGGAGATTTGTCAGGAATCCTCATTTGGGCTTCCTTGGATATATGTTGTACATACAAATGCTGCAGGAAACAAGGAATTGCTTGTAGGTCACCCAAACCTGTTGGGAACATTGCTTGGCTGCAAGCACAGGACAGGTTTTTCTCATGTTTTAGGTGGAGCAAAGTACACAGATTATCAGTGATAGGAGGAAAAAAAAATCAATGGCTAAAATTAGTTTACTGTTCAAATTTGTTCTAGAAAAATCAAGAGGATTGATCTGAGAAAGTATTCAAATTTTTAAAAAAAAGCTTTTGAAATTCTTTACACTTCATGAACCGGCTGGTGTTGTCAAGACATTGGGTGCAGTGGTTCTGCGTAGAAAGCTCTTGTGTTGTTGAATAGCTCTGGTCGCTACCTGTTGTGTTTTGGGGGTGACAAAGGCTTCTTTACAAAGCCGTGTCCTCCCCCTTTTGCTCCCGAGCTTATGGGTATGGTTGTTTGTAGCAAAACTTGCTATGAAAAGATGGAATCTTCTTGCCCAGCATCTTAGAGGTTGTATTCTCTCTTGCTTGTACTTTCTTACTGATGCTGTACCCTTCGTCGGGAACTTGGGAGTACACGGAATAACTGGTGATCTTTACAAAACAATGTTCTGAAACGGCAGGGGAGAGGAGATGAGACCTTTGTCACTCAGGTCTGACAATTTACGCAAATGCTACAGAATTAAAAGATGAAGAAGCTCCAAATGGCTATGTCTGTCTTGAAGAATTAGGAAAAATTCCTTCCCTGCAAGGGCTGTCAAACACTGGAAGGGGCTGCCCAGGGAAGGGGTCGAGTCCCCTGGGGCAGTCCATCTGGGGGCAGAAGAGGTGCTTAGGGCCAGGGTTCAGTGGTGGGATGGCAGGGTTAGGGGAACAGTTGGGCTTGGTGATCTCAAAGGGCTTTTCCAACCCAAACGATTCTGTGATTCTGTGATTCTGTGTTGTTAGGGTAGATCCAGGCTCTGTATTTCAGGATTCCTTTAGTACAAGTTGGTGCTTTCCTTTTTTCCTTCAGCCAGGGCCGGGGGGACAGCAGGGGCAGCCGGCAGTGGCCCTGCTCGCAATGTGCCTGCTGTGCTCTTGGCAGGTTTGCACTGCAGCCACCAGTGCTGACTTAGTTGATTCTCAATGAGCGTGGGTGGCAGAATTTTCCTCTGTTTGCTGGGGGTGTGTTGACTAGGGATGCAAAACAAGATTGCTGTCTCTTGGGATCAAGCACACAACCAATACACAGGCGTCCCGAGCTACTGTAGCGTATCACCTATTCCACACAAGCTGGCTGTGTGGGTGATCCTACTTCATGGCAAGCGTGAGCCTCTGGGTTATTTTAGGCCTTGGTAAAGTGGAGGTTTGGATTACTACTGCTTGTTTGCTGATTCTGTGAAGAGTTGGCGAATGCCTCTGCTTATGTGCAGGGATTTATCCTGTGATGAACGGTTTCCTGGTAGCTCAGTCCCCTGAAAAGAAACACTCAGCGTGGAAATAGGTAATTTGTTGCCTGACACCAAAGATTTTGGCTGCAGTGTCTTAATGCTTTCTCTTTCTGTAAGTGGGATAGGTATCATGCTGTTCTGCTCTATTCTTCTGAAGCATGCGCTTTGTAACGTGCCAAACTTCAGCTCGGACAGCTTACGTTGCTTGGAGTGTAGAAATCCCAGAGGATTTAATGCATGTCTTGGAATATGGGAGGAAATTCCTGCCTGTCGGTTCTTTCTTGTAGCAGAGGTGGTGTGGTTGAGCAGAGCTTTTGTGGGGGGCACACAGTGGTGCCTGTGCATTTTGGATTTGGTGCATTACCTAGAAAGTACTTTTACTGATGTTTCCCATAACAAATTCTTAAACAACAGAGGAGCTGCTTGCAGACTTGAAAGACCTTTAAAGTGCTGAGTGTTGAGCTTTAGGTCTTTGTCAGCGCAAAATGAGAGGCGGAGGTGCTTTAATTTTGGTTTCTATATTGTGTGTGTCTCATAATAAAATTATATTTTAAGATCTGCTAAATTCTGAAGCTGTGGTACAATGGAAACGTGTTTACCCTAAACATGTTGGGGTACTTTCATCTCTTTACAAAGCTCTGTTAGTAGAAGTGTTTGCGTACATTGGGAAAGCAAGCTAACCAACGTGTTTATATTTGTCTGTGATAATCTTCTCGGATGTCTTGTAATCTCAAAGGTGCTACGTGCAGTTCTGGGAATGAAAGAAGTGCAGATGAGGAATGAAAGTAAAGTTGGCCTCATTTTTAGACAGATGAAGCGCAAGATGTAAGTAAGCAGCATAATAATGAAGAGAACAGAATACTTTTTTTTTTCCTTCACCCAATTTATACAGAGCAAGAGCACAGGTAATGGCATATAAATAAAAAAAAAAAAAAAAGAGTTAGGAAGGAAAAGACACCCAGCCCCCTTCTGAATTGATAAATGGGCGATAACATTACACAGATTGATGTAAGAGCTTGGCTCGGAGATAAAAATAATGGCAATAATAATTTGTATTTCCGGTGTTCTTGCCTGCAGCAGCAGTGCTGAATAGATGTTAAACGCATGAATATTCAGGCTGTGTTGATGTGTCTGAATGATGGAACAGTTCTTACGCCCCTGAAGTGAGTCTGATCCTGAACTGCAAACACAATGTGGTGATCTTCCTGAACAGTGGAGGTTTGGAGCCTGGCGTACAACGCACCCTTTTGATAAGACATCAAAGAGTAGCTGAATTTGAGTGTTTATGAAAGCTGAATCTTTGCAACGGGGTGACTTATTTGACATGGCAGGAGAGTTTGCTGTAATGACCCTCAATTCCTTAGTGCTGCATGAGGTCCTACAGGGCTGCCTTGTGTTGTGCAAGTTTGTGAATTTAACATTTCAAGACATTTTGCCACCTTTGGCTGGCGTATACAGGTGTGTGTTGCTATTAAAGTTCATCCCCAAAAGACACAAAACCACGTAATTGTTAAGAACTTGTTTTCAAGCAATCTTTAGGCTAATCTAAACAGTAGAAATTGAAGTCAACTTATCAAAAACCTGTCTAGAAAGGTAATTAGATCTATTATTAGGCTTATGACTTTTGTGTAGCATGGAATTCCCCTCTTCAGCATCTGATGACTGTGGGTTTTGGTCCTTTTCCAGCATCTTTTTACAAATAAGAAGCCATTTACAAATGTACGGGAAGCTATGGTTATAGCATCAGTTGTCCTTGTCAACATGCTTTTCCCTCCTATTTTGGCAAATACCCACTACCCTCTTCTTCCCCTTTCCGAAGTAACAGCCAGCTCATGGAGTTCAGGGTTTCTTATTTTCGTGCTATGTATTGTGTCAGCAGGGTTTTTTGTAACACCTCTTGCACAGCTACACAGTCTGGTTGTCTAGTGAGTTGCTTAGTGCTGCGTAACGGCCGGAGGAGAACTGGTGTCCGCTCCTAAATACTTTCGGGAAGTCCATAGAGCAGCATCATGTGTGGAAAAAGATGTAGAGACTGCCTGCTTTGTAGATTGGGAAGAGCATTGGAAGGAGCAGGTTTAGGACATGGATTTTTGTAGAGTTACATGCCTCGAGCCTGTGCAGAACAAGTGCCCTCCGTGTGCACACCGTCAGTGCTGGCAAGCACTTCGTCCTTCCTGGGGTATGGGAGATGCTTATGGCAACTGGCTTGTTGGCTTGGGGGCTCTTTGCTCGGCGCGATGGGTGTCACTGCTGCGTGGTCTGAGTGTTTCTTGGAGGAACCCCAATTGAGTACTTGGGTAGCATGGACTTCAACTGGCGTAGCAGCTCGGGGGAGATCATAGCATAAGGCGCGGGGGCTTTGAACATGGGGTACTTCCACATCTTTGCAGCGCAGGTGGTGCGATTGCAAAAGGAGATGTGCTCTTCACTTCTCCCAGCCCTGCCGATGTCCCTTTTGAACTGAAAGTGATGCTGTCAGCTTTGAATGTTGCGGCCTCCTGAGTGTTTTGTACTTGCAAATGCTGTCTTGGATTAACTTTAATAATTTCTTTGAAGTTGATCCTGGCAGCAGTGAATGGTTAAACCAAAAGCATTTTGCGCACATAATAAGGGGCCTAAAATGGAGTGTGTTGGGTTAACGTATTTGGCAGAAGAGCCCTCAAGGCTGTGTGTTTGCTCTCAAAACAGAACATAAGACACCCACCAGCTTTTCAATGCGCCTATGTACATACACTTAGAAGTTCAACAATAAGCCTTTAAAATGCAGCTGGAATTAAAATGTTCATGAAAAAATGCATTCCGCTTACTCTCAGATGTGAATTGAATCCTGACTAAATTTAGGGAAAAGGCCAGAAAGGGAACAAAATGGTTGAGATGGTTCAGCTTTCATTCTTGCAGTATGTTGATGCATTTCTCTAATCTTACCCGCCAGCGTCAATATTCAGGTTTAAATCACGTAGTTCTTGTGTTTATCTACCAGCTCAGCCTTTTGAATCCCAAGTCTCCTAGGGCTTTCGGTTTTGCTGGTCTCCATTTTCTTTTTCTGTAGGCTACCAGTTGCAGTCTTAACTGTTAGGAGTCCTTGAACTTGTATGCTCTTTCTGGCATGGAGAATGTGGATCGGGAGGAGGGGACACGAATATATTCTTAAGCCTTATTTCTCAGACAGTATAACCTGTGTTTGAAGAGTTTTTTAGTAAATACACGAGGCTTTCTTGGCTGAGAGTTTCAGTGATGAAGCTTGTTTCCTCATCTTTCCAATCATGGGAGATCATGTTTGTGTTACAGCTTCCAGGTGGTTCCTTGGGTTTGAATAAATCACGTGTAATAAACTTTTTTTGCTCACCTTCCAAAAATGTTTTATGCAGGGAGGGTGAAATAGTTGTCTTGATATCCTCAACTTGACTGCACTTTGAACTAGGTGATGAACACAACGAGGAAATGTTTCTACAAGAGTCCCGATGGAGCCATTTGTTCTCCGCGGGCGCTCAAGGGAGTGCAAACTAAATACCTGGAGTCTGCGAAGCAACGTTGTTCTGCATCTGGCAATTATGGTCCCTGAGCTGTGTTTTTATTTTTACAAACCAGCGCTGTGGTTTTTTGCATCAGGTAGCGATAAGTGCTTATGTGTGGTTATGCTCGATACTGGTGGTTTGAATCTGTAGGTTTTGTAAATTATTTTTGAGCTACGGCGTTCGACATCTCTGTCTTGTGCAGCATGACAGTATCTTCAAAGGCACAGGAGTCCCACACCTGCTTCTGCTTTTTCTTGACGTGCAGACGCTCAAATCCTGGAACATGCCTTGGAGCCAGATACTCCAATTATACCCAGACACACCCTGCTAATTAAGCAGTGTTGTGACCTTCCTAGTAATTTAGCGTGCAAGCTTTGATTTCCCCCTTCCCTCCCAAACCCCCTATTTGGATTTAAGTTTATGAGGTGTGGGGTAACAGCGTGTTAACTCTTTGTTTTCTGGAGAAGATGGTATAACCCAGGCCTCAAACGTCTCATTAGACAAGAATTTGGGTGAAAGAACTATTTAAAACTCTGCTGAATAGCTTTGTATCTATTTCCAGGGGTCCTGAAGACACCTGTTTCGAGTATGGGGTTTTCCCTGCTATTCTGAGCTTTCCACTTGACTACCCACTGAGTCCTCCGAAGATGAGGTTCACGTGTGAGATGTTCCATCCGAACAGTGAGTATGATGCAAGCAGGGCGTATGGGGGAGCGGGTTGCTTGCACACCTCAAAACCAAATTTTTGCAGCGGGAGACCTGGCATCCTTGCTGAGGACGGTTCTCTTCCTCTCCCATATTGAGTACGCAGTCAGACTTTTCAGCTGTCTGGCAGTTTTGCTCTGTCTTAGGGTCACTTTGTCACATTATTCCTCATACACCTTTTGGTCATAAGTGGTCCAATACAGATTCCAACAATTTCACAAAGATTCCAACAATGTCACTGCCTTTAAGATGGTTCCAGGAATACTGGTAACTATTGTATAAATGGCCTAAAGATAAATCTTCTGTGCATGTTATGCCATTTAGGGAATAGGTACAGGCTTTTTACAGTCTTGCTCTGTGGCTTGAAGTAGTTTGGTGTTATTTTAACGAGTGAAAATCTGTTTGTGTTGATCAAAGTTTGGATGCAGCTTTACTTGGCAGCACTTGGCTGCTTCCACATTAGGTCACAGGTTTAGTAACATTTCTGATGGGATCTTTCTGAAATACAGAGTACTCTGTCCAAGCAGGTGACACGTTTGCAGGCATTTAATATTAAGACTTTGCTGGCCTTTTCTCTGCCATTCTGATGGTGATAATATTGAGACTTTGCAGTGGAAGCAATTGAAGTAACAACAAGTACAGCTAATGGGTTTGAGCTTTGGACAGGTGAAAACCTTAAAGCCCCCTTTCGCAGCCTGGAGCGCTACTTTTTGGAGTCGGACTTGTCATACGCAACAAGTTTGCAAAGAATGCCATCTGCTAAATCAACATGGATTGTGCGAAGATTGTTTATTGTCGCCCATGTTTGATGGGTTGGATCTGTATTCCAGGCTATTGGGTCTCTGCTACTGGAGAGCAATAGAAGGAGAATGCTGCCCTCCTGCCTCGTGTTGCCTTCCCAGCTGACGTTCCTGCACTTGCATAACACAAATCTTAATCTCGGCTGGGAATTGATTTATTTCATCCTATTCCAAAGAATTTTGCAATTTCTTGAAGTTCCTCTGTTCTTCCCGTCTCAAAACACCACCGATGCAGATTCTTGCCCATTTAATCCACAAGCAAGCCCATCTTTCTGGTCTTCTGTGGAGGGGACACCACGTCGCAGCACAGAACCATGCAGACGTGCCTGAGGTGGTGTAGCATCACCTCTGAAGCTCTGATGGCTGCAGCGTTCGGCACCTGGAAGAAACGTGGCTGCATCGGCATCTTGCTCCACCTGGTCTAATTCACCCAGACTTCTTGGTGGCACTGGTCTCTGTGAGCAAGTCTGTGTCCACACAAAACTCTGCAGCTTCGCTTCTGGCCTTGGCTTGAAGTGTGCAGTGTAGCTAGGAGGAGGAGGGCGCAGAGAAGACTCTTGTGTTACAGAATGGCTCTGGATGCCGGCGCATCCTCCGTGGGGTTAACTGGAAACTACTGGGGGGGGCAGCTCTGCTTTTTAAAGCCCCGTGACTCTGCATCATGTTTAAAGTTGAGATCACATGAATCTTCCTCCTCAGGTGGGGTCATGATGGTCTGGTTATACCCAAAAGGCTGTAGAAATGGGTGCTGTGCTTTCTCCGTTCCTTGGGTGCTCACTCCTCCACCTGTGAGGTACTGCAAGGAAAACATTTCACAAGTCTGCTGTGTTACCTTACTTTCACAGTTTGTGCTATGTACAGGGGGATCTGAGATGCCACGACGCTATCTTCTCTTAAAATAAAGTGATACTCATGGATGCTCTTGGGGAAGTGAACTTCAAAGTAGCAATTAATGGCATGTCTTGCATTAGCATGTAGTGACAAAGCGGGAAGATGCGGATGTCTTCCTGGAATCGGCCTTTGCTGTCGTGACTGTGCTGTTGTGGTCCAGCTGTTTAAATGAGGCACTGCATAAAAGTGTTAGGGTAACTTAGAATTGAAATCCCTTCTACCGGTGTGTTCCAAACTTGCCAGGATAAGTGCTGATTCAGCACATGCTGTTTTATCTCTTCCAGGCATGGCTAGGCCAGCTCCAGTCCCCAGCCTGGGGCTGCAGGAGGGGATGTAAATAAGTCTTCCAGAGCGCTTATGTGGTGCAGGCTTGTGCAGACATAAGCTGGGTGAAGGGAAGGGACTGGAAATGAGCACAGCTGCTTCCAGTGGTCATTCCCTCCTTTTGTTTTGTCTTGTTTTCCTGGCAATGGCGCAGGTTTGGTCACCCGAGGAATGGAAGCACTGAAAGTACCAGGCTAAAGCTGTCATTCCTTGGGAGGCTGCAGAATTAGGCCATGTTGCTAAAGCAGTGTCTCGAACTCTATCCTCCTTGTGTTGCCTCTTCAGCCTTTCTTCTGGCCTCGTTACAAAGTCGGTGGAGTCCAATGTCTGTGAAGATGACCTGTACTGTTGCAGATGCTTTGCTTATGCTAAAGGTGGGAGGGGAAGCTGCCTGTATCCTTAATTGATAGCTTATCTTGTTTCCACGCGCTTTAATGCAGCTGAGCTTTAAGCAAAACTAAAAAAAAAAAGTAGGGTGAACTCTTCTGGTTGCCCCTCAGTAACGTGCAAAATAAGATCAATCACACTGTTTATAAAACACCGCTTTTCCCTCCTTGCTGCAGCAGAGCAAGTTTTCTCCGTTCTTTTTACAGTCATGGTCTGGCGGAGGACTCCAGCGTGCATGCAGTGCTGTGTGACTGTTACCCTTCGATTTAAGTAGAACTGGTTCGCTACGTGGAGCTGTGCCTGTGCATAAATTGTTCCACCAGGCTGCAGCTCTCATTTTTTCTGTGGAGCCTGTCGCTGGTTATTAAATGACAGGAGTGCTCTCTGCAGGCTTCTGTTGGGGAAGGATGACCCCAGTTTGTTAGAGTTGCTTAAAGGAAATTTCTGCTAGATTCTTGTCTTTCAGATTTTGTATCCTCTTGCCTTTGGAAGAGGAACTTTAAAAGCTTCAGTCACATGAAGGCCAAGTCCAAATGTTCATCTGTGCTAAAGATCTGGAGAGGCTGAGTGTTTCCACCAAGTAACGATCAATCCCCTGTACTTCTCATGCAGTTTACCCGGATGGGAGAGTTTGCATCTCTATTCTTCATGCTCCTGGAGATGATCCCATGGGATACGAGAGCAGTGCTGAGCGGTGGAGTCCTGTGCAGAGCGTGGAAAAGATCCTCTTGTCGGTTGTCAGCATGCTGGCAGGTAAGGACTGCTGTTTTATTGGCAGTGGCTCCGAGACCAGTTACCGAGTTAGCTAGGGCTGCTTCTTGCTGTTTGATTTGTTAAGGGAGCAAAGGACATTTGAAGCTGCTCAGCCCCAAACACGGTTCTTACAGCCCTAGTATTTATTTATTAATGAACCAGTTTTCTGAAAAGAATTGGTGGAGGAAAAAAAAAAAAAAAAGAGACTGCCTTAGTAGAGAGGTGCTCCCAGCTTTGCGAGCACTGCTTTCCTTCCAGGTCAGCAGCCACCGAGCAGGGGGTGAGGGTCAGCTGGGTCCGGACACTCAGCTGGTTCCCTGCTCCTGCACAAAACCCGCGCTCCACCTTCGTACTTCCTGCGATGTCTGCTGGGCTCTTGCAGGTCTTAAAGCTATTGATTACAGCCTGTGTTGGGTTTGGCTTTAGCAGCTGAGGGGTTACCAGCCAGATCTAACCGGTACAGTAAACTGGAGTCCGTGGTCTCTCTGATTCACATGCCAGCACCCTCCGTTTCTGTGTGTTATTTGCCAGTCTGGGATTGTACCCCATCCTGCTATCTCTCATTCAGGGGAAGGCTTTTTGAGAAGAGGGGTGGGGTGAAAAACTTCTTCTGCAGCCTTTTAGATGGCTTCCCTTAAATCTCTGTCATATACAGCTCCCTGAAAGATGGATCCTTTTCCACGTAGTGGACAGAGCCACTGAACTGCCTGAAAAGGGCAGGGCCGTGTCCTTTAGAATCAGTTTTGAATGATAAAAGATTTTAGAGGGTTTAGAAGCAGCAAAGTTGATCAAAGAGCAAGGAACAGATTCTTACAGGGAACCATTTTAGCTTCAGAATAGTAACCTACTGCTGGGGAGCCACGCAAATGGTACCTCGCTGGGCTTCCTGTGCCCTCAGAGAACTCGGTGTGCTGTGCAGCCTTACCGTAGATTGGTTGGCATGGGAGTCGCCTGGTCTCTCATTCTCTGCCTGCGCGTCCTGTTTTCCCACGGCTTTTTGGAGGAATTAGTCTAAACTGTTGGTCAGCTTCTTTCAGGCTGCTGGCAAACTCTTGGCTCTGGCTCCGCAGAGAGCACAAGCCCAGGCTTGGCAAACCGGGTGACCTGCTGGCTTTTAAGGGCAAGCCATCAGCATCGCATCAAGAAAGGCATGAGCCCAAGGTGTCTGCCGTGAACTGGGCTCGGGTGGGTTTGGACTGGTGTGGGGTAGAGCGCATTCTATCTTAGTGACTTGTGCAGTCCCCTGGAAGTTCTCCTACTCTCTGCTGACCACGAACCTGGTAAATCCCGTGCTTCGGCTTACCTCTGTACGAAACAAAGTGTTGGAGTCACAGGGGCTTAATGTACTTTGTAAAACGCCCTGAAATCCTAGGATGAAAGATGCTACAGAAATGAAAGCATTCTATGGGTTTTCTTGGTTTGTTTTGTTGTTTTTTAAGAGAACAAGCCATCCCAAAGAGTGACAGAGCCTGTTTGGGTGGCCTGGTCGGGAGGCCTTTGTGTCTGTGAAGCTGCAGAACCAGAGAAAACATTTTGCAGGGAGCAGTACGCAGTTGTACAAACCCTTGATGATGCTGGGGGTGCCACATTGTGTTGTTCCCTGTGCGTGCTGGGACTCAGCTGCTGAGAGCATAAACAAAAGAAAGTCCTGCTCCTCTGCCACTTGTCTTTTACCTAAACCAGACCCTGCTGTGATATTCTCTTTTGATCATCTAAATCGGAACCGTTCGGGAATCCAGCAGCTGTCAGGGGATTTTCTTTAGTGGTGTTTCCATGGTCCCAAGCAGGGGAGGTGTGCCAAAACCCTGGGGAAGTAGCAGTACAGAGGTGTTACTGAAAAAGCGCGAGGGTCTTGCTCCATTGCCTGCCTGCCCACCTATCTTTCAGTCTTTCTCGTTTCAGAGCCAAATGATGAAAGCGGAGCCAATGTAGACGCCTCCAAGATGTGGCGGGAAGACAGAGAACAGTTTAACAAAATTGCCAAGCAGATTGTGCAGAAGTCACTCGGACTTTAAGCTCACAAAGAGACTGAAGTGTTTTGTATTTCTCTCCATCCAGAAACGAGCAGTGCTCAGTGATGGTACCAAAAAGGAAAACTTTGCAAAACTATTGGCCTAGTTCTTCTTATCATTCGCTATTTATTTACCATCTCTTTTCTTCTTCCGCTGCTCCAGAGAAGCCTCTAGTTCACTTGATCGTGTGGAAAAGGGATTTAATACTAGGGAAAATCACGGAGACGACGCTGTTTGAAAGGCTACTTGTTGCTACCTCACGTCGCGGTATGGAAAGCTCGGAGACTTTGCAGTCTGCAGCCTGCCTTCGCCGATCTGCTGTTTGAGAACAGAGCTGGTTTGGATCACCTGCTGGAAGAATGAGTTTTGGGGTTTTTTTTTATAGGTAGCATTGCATCTGGAGCACCATAGGCAGGAAATAATCTACCAGTTTTTATGATACTTGCTACATTAAGCATTTGCAGTCAGAACTGATTTGAAGAGTATATTTAGCAAGAGTGGCCGTAAAATGAGGTTATAGTCAGGACGCATTAGCAAAGGAAGTGATTGTGCAGCGTGTAACTTCAGAGGGAGATCTCGGGGGTTGTTTCCAGTGGCTGGCTGGGGGTCTGGAATGGGCTGATGTTCCCGTGTAACACTGTGAGTTTGTACTGAGCCTTTGAGTCAGTGTTTGCTTGGAAGAAATCCCAAGAGCTGCTTTATTACTCCCTAAAGACACTCAGTTGTGAACTTTACATTCAATTAGAGCTGCCAGGTGGGAAGACTGGATTCTTAAATGCTTCTGTCAGGTTCACCATGGGCAGGGTAGGTCATTGGCAGCCTGAAAACCCAGTGAGAATATGTCTGCTCCTCTGGGGCTGGAAAACATCTCGGCAATAATGTCAGCTCCTCTTCTGTCGATGTTTGGATGTTGAGAGGATTTGGCGCTGCTGGCCTTTGCCGTTACGGCCCGGGTTGCCCCGTCTTTCAGGTGAATGGGCAAAGATGAACGTGATGAATTTTGTAAGACTAACTGTAACGCCTCTTTATGCCGACTGCTCTCGTGTATTTAAATATGAGTCGGAGAAGATGCTGATCATGTTTCCTAGAGGATGGGACAATGCACGTTTAGAACTGCAGAGTATCGTAGCTGATCGCCGGCATGGAGGGAGCGGGAGATGCCAGCTGCAATGATCAGTTTGTAAAACTGCTTAGGGGCCACTGCTGACTTCTTGTGCTTTGCAAGCGAATCTCTTGCGTAGGTCCAAATCTTCTCCAGTTTACTACAAGCAATAACATGCCCATTGATAGCACATAGTCGCACTGCCAGGAAAGCTTTACGGAGGTGATTGTGCGCATGCCCGTGTGTACAGCTCATCAGTATTGATGCCTCACCATCGTCACATGCTGCAGTTCACAGTACGCTGTCCTGCACCTCTGAAGTGTTCACATTGCTACGACTGGCTGACTTTTACCTCCTCGTAGAAGTAATTCTCGCTTTGGTGTAAGGGTGGGAGAGGGACCTGATGTAGTTTGGGAGCAGAGATGATGATATAGTGTTGTACCTAACTAGTATTTCAAGGTGTACAGGAAAATGTAGCACTTACCTGCAAATTGGGAGCGTTTCTTTTCAATTGTAGTGGCTGGGGCGGTGCTTCTGGGGGCACAGCAGGCCTGGTGT